TATGTTTCCTACTCTCTGTATGAGGTTAAAACAGGAGAAAAATGCTCCAGCTGCTACAGGTTGAAGCACAGAGAATGATGGAGGTGGAAGTGGGAAGGCTGAGATGGCTCGGCGGGCAGATGGGGCCGCGCAGGCAGATTCCTCGCAGAGCCGCCCTGCCGTGGCGAGGACAGAAAGAGTTAAGCCGCAGCGTTGCTGGGGGAGCTCAGCTTTCCTTCCTGGCCTCCAGGATTACAGCACTGGCTTGCCAGGCTTTGGGGAGAGGTTAGAAAATGCTTGTCCCAGGAGAGCTGCCCCCAAACCTGGGGCCGGAGGGTCCCGTCCCTGCGGCGTGGGGCCATGAAGGCAGCACCTGCCCTGGGGACAAAGCTGGCCTGGAGGACATCATTGATGGGGAAGGTGAAGCAGATGGTGCACCCAGACTTGCCCCGTGCAGGCTGGTTTTGGATGGCTCTGAGAAAGCAGCCGGTGCTCAGGAGAGCAAAAAGAATGAGATTTACTGTGACTGCTGCTTGGCCAAGGAGGTGGCGGTGGTGACGTCCTGCCTCGCCTGCCCAGAGCATCGCCAGGCTGCCCTGGGGAGCAGCGAGCTGTGGAGCTGCTGGACGTGCAGCCCCTCCAAGGACTCTGAGCTGCCGACCCGCGGGTTAGAGCACTTAACTCTATAACCAGAAACCTGGTCATGAGTGAACAGCTTGGGTAAGTGAAGAGTAAATGTTTTTAGGTGTAACCCTAGAAGCAAGTTTGATAGGTAAGTGGGAAAGTGAGGTTTGAAAAACAATGCCCTTTGTCCTTTCTCTGTATGGATTTACTTTCTCCTCCTGGGAGAAGGAGGACTCCACTTCCAAAACAAGTGGTCGTTGCCAGTGTGGGAATGGAAGGTTTAATAAAACTTTTCATCCTGTGCATTTACCAGATGCTGTGGCCAGTGCTGTGCAAAGGGCATCCTGCGCTGCGCCTGCTGCCCCAGCTGCCCGGAAAGCTCTGCTGACGTGTGAGGGTCAAGCGTCCTGAGGTGTGAGTCCAGGTCTTCAGAGACCCCAGTGATCTTACCCCGGCAGGGATCCCTCTTGCCCAGTTTTAGGCGCCTGGCCTGAGATGCTGTACAGCGGTTGGCAGGGCTGGACCACGCACCGGTTCTCTGAGGCTGGGCACTGACTGCTTGGCAGCTCTTCTTCCATTCCTCTCCAGTTTTTAGGCTGGAAGGTGGGTTTGAATTCCTCCCTCCAGATGAGAGCTTGGATGGAGTGGCTGTTTTATACTCCTCTTCCAGCAGTTTTTTAAATCACAGATGGCAGGATTGCATTCCTATGGGCACATTGCCTGCATTCACTTATTAACAATGTTTTATTACCTGCTGCTGGCAGAGAGCTTTCTCAGGCTTTGAGAGAAGACAAAGCTGGACAATATATGGTGATGTCTTCTGGTGCTGTTAAAAAGGTGCAGTCATCCACATTGGATGGTGACCTGGTCCTTTTTGCTGGAGAGGACTCACTCCAGCTCTGGGCATCCAACACCTACCGCAGGGCTCAGAGAGTTTCCTCTCCTTGGTCTTCTGACCCCAGAGAGGGTGGGTCAGTGATGGCTCTCTGGTTTGTTCACAGGATGAACTTCTTCAGACTCACCTGGTGTATAACTGGAAGCCAAAGTCTCTTGAGAAAGCAATTCTTAAACTACAGAATAACACCTAGTCTAGCATGATAAGGCAGAACACAGCTGGGCTTGCTCCCAGCTTGCTGTCAGTGCCATGATCTGCCTCCCTGTAAAATAATGATAGTCACAATTCTGCCCAATTTCTATCAGGTGGTTTCTGGGAGCATCAGCAGAGCTCCTGGTGGAAGAGGAGAACGGGGCTTAGTCTGTGGTGAGGGAGATTTCAGATTAGGATGAGTTTTCAGGAGAAGCCTGTAGCAGGGGATCGACTGGACGGTTTCTTGCAGTTCAGTCTGTGTTCATTAAAGCCAAGTGAGCTAGGAATGAACTGTTCTAAAATCCACAATTTTGGCTGACATCTGAAGGATGAAGCCAGTGTGAGATGCTATGGCATGAGTTAAAAAGCCAAGGCTTCCTAGACTGAGCTCTTACTATGTGTGGATTTGGCTTTCAAGTGTCTCTGTAATGCATAGTTCAGCATGGGGTTACTCCCAAATACTGACCCCTGGGTGCTTTGGGCTTCAGGAGAAGTCAGACCACATCAAACCCTGCTGATGTTGTGGAGCAGTCCTGCTCTGGGAGGGGCTGGGTCTCACCTAGTTGACCAGGAAATCTGAACCCCAAACTCCATGTTTCCCAATAAAAGCCAAAGTCACCAAGATCCTGTATTTCAGGCTGATTTGTTTTAAGCCTAAATGAAGATTTCTCCACCTCAGGAAGGTGGAACTCCCTTATGTAGGGTTTTGTTGGAGAATTACCCCCAAACTGAGCCTTGGTTATATCATCCAGCTGCCTGTTGGGTGCATCTTTGGTGAATCATCACTCTCGAGGGCATCAACCACCCAAACAACAGTGTCACCTTCCACAAGGTGTGACTAACGGCATCACTTGTCATCTTCAGCAAAGTGTGAGCCATAATGGAAGGTATAACACCCAAAATAGTCACAGTGGTTGCCTAGCGTGACCAGCTTTGTAATAAACTTCCTTGAAAAAGAGCCTCAGTCCCGTGTTTCAAAGCTACCGCAACCACATCTGCCTCTATGCTGTTGGCGCAGGAGCAGGCTGTCCCTGTACGCCGTAAGAAGAATGGGCGGGGAAGACGACTGGCCTGGCTGAACGGGGAGCTCTTGCTGGGACTCAGGAAAAAAAGGAGAGTTTACCGCTTGTGGAAGAAGGGGCAGGCGACTCAAGAAGAGTACAGGGATCTCGTTAGGTCGTGCAGAGAAGAAATGAGAAAGGCAAAAGCCCAGCTAGAACGCAATCTGGCCGCTGTCATTAAAGACAACAAAAAAAGTTTTTACAAATATATTAATGACAAGAAGA